TGGGAAACATTTTCGCTAGCCTAGCTGGTGCTAGATACCACCTGTGTAGCATTTTATAATGGTTTTCTCTAAATGTTGCCGATTTCGTCATTTTATAATTCCTATTCCAGGCCATCTCCCAGTCGTTAAATTTTAATCTGTATCCCAGGTTTTTTCCCCAAATATTTAGCTGATTTTTTGCTATAATCTCTGCCCTATCCTCATCTAATAAGAAGTTATATATTTTTGCTAGCATTTCCTTGTCTGTTCCCCAAATAATTTTATCAAAATTTCCATATTTAGCTTCTATACCAAATTGGTCTCTGTCTTTTTGGAATCTTGAATTAATCTGCAGGTAATTCCACCAACCCAAATTGAAACCCTGGTCCCTCAATAAATCCAAAGGTTTGAGCTTCCCCTTTTCATCAAGAATGTCTTTATATGTGCCCAATTTATAATCGTCTCTCCTGTTTGGGGCCGCCAACGCTTCCGTAATAGAAAGCCAGTTAGGTACCCTATTATATATTCTCTGTCTGATTTCCTCCCACGTGCGTATAAGAGTCTCCCTAATTTTGTGTTTATGAAATAGGATTTTTTCTTGTTCTTTGTATCCCACAGGTGAGCATGCCATCCTTCCAATAGGTCATGTCCTTCTAATGTCAGGATTCTCCTATTTCGTAACGTGATCCACTTCTTAATCCAAATTATTTTCGCCACCTTTTGATATATTTCCCAATCGGGGAGCCCAAATCCTCCCAAATTTCTTTTCCCTTGCAGTATCTTAAAGGAGATCCTCGATTTCTTACCCTCCCATAGAAAGTTTCTAATGTGTTTGTTCAGGTCCAGAAAGAATTTTTTATCTAAGGTTATCGGAATATTTTGAAATAGGAACAGAATTTTAGGTAGGATGTTCATTTTAATCGCTGCTATTTTACCAATCAGAGACAGTTTTAGCCTTTTCCATATTTCTGCCGCATCACATTTCTGTCACGTGACATATCACAACTTTTTTCTCTTCGCGGAGTTGGGGTGGGTGTGGTCTTCACGTGATGCATCTGACCTGCGGGCCGCCAGTTTGAAGCCCCTGTTCTAGGCATATCCCGAGTCATTTTAAAGTGATAGTAAGACTTTGAAGATCCTCTGTGGAGACTTCTTAAATGAGAAGGACAATCCAATAATAAACACTGCATTACTGCCTAATAATTACTTTACATTAATCCTCTGGCATTGTAGTAACATTTTTGTTTCAAACAGGAAACAATCAGGGAGTATTGCTCTGGTTGTGATATTTCATTTTTCTAGCTTGAACTGAATAGTGTTTAATTCACTAAATGGGGCTCAGTTCTGGTAGTTCAGGCTGGGCATCACCAGCTAATTAAAGGCTGTTACAAAGTATAGAAAGTGTTAATAGAATAGAATAGAGTAGAGTAGAGTAGAGTAGAGTAGAGTAGAGTAGAGTAGAATAGAATAGAATAGAATAGAATAGAATAGAATAGAATAGAATAGAATAGAATTCTTTATTGGCCAAGTGTGATTGGACACACAAGGAATTTGTCTTGGTGTATACACTCTTGGTGTACATAAAAGAAAAGATACGTTCATCAAGAATCATAAGGTACAACATTTAATGATAGTCATAAGTTACAAATTAGCAATCAGGAAACAATATCAATATAAATCGTAAGGATACCAGCAACAAGGTTACAGTCATACAGTCATAAGTGGGAGGAGATGGGTGATGAGAACGATGAGAAGATGAGAAGATTAATAGTAGTGCAGACTTAGTAAATAGTTTGACAGTGTTGAGGGAATTATTTGAGAGAATTAATTTGTGAGAATTAATAGATTCTCACAATGAAAATAAATCTATTTATGATTATTTCTTTATGGAGTAGAAATGGTTTTTTATTTTGGGAGCAAAACAAGTGTTAGGAAAAAAACATTCATGTTGAGCACCAAATGAGTGGTTGTCTCTGTGTTCCTTCTGTGGCTTTATAGTGTCTTTTATTCTTGTTTTCACAGTGTGTTTTGTGTTGGAACCCACCAGAAGGCCAGGTTTTATTTAAACACAATTAAAACATAAAACCGAGGCATCTCTAGAAGGATTGGAAAATTATGATTGGCCATTGGTTTTCTGGTGAACATTGTAAACCCTAAGCCACCCAGAGTCGCTTTGGATAGCAAGGTTGGGTGGCATTTAAATAAATAAACTAGCTCTCCGAAGCACTTTTTTTAAAATGTGAGAGTGAAAAGCTTGAGTAATCAGAAGGCTGGGAGTTTCCCCATAGTTGACCATTGACTCTGAAACAAACTTGACTATGGTTCTGCAATTCAAGGATTCCAAGAGACTGATGGATTTCTTACATGTGTTTCCAACATCTGGGGAGTTATTGAGGCAGCATTTCTCAAACTGAGACTCAGGATCTGCAGTGGGATTTGAGATGTTTCCAAGAAGGTGTCTCCTAAATTCTGCCAGACAGAACAGCAGAATGATGGGCATATTAGAATAAAAATTCACTGCAGAAAAACAGCTATTGTTTTTTTTTCAGGAATAATCTTTTTATACTCTGGGTTCATTTCTACCCACCCCATGAAATGTTTTGTTGATTTTGTTTGTCCTTTCCAATGGGCCCAAACAGTAGATGGCCTGAGAAATCCTGTATTGGGAGACTGACGGCTGATCTTTACAACTTTCTAACCATGGCAGGTATATGAGATTTTATTTGATTTACTTATTTGAGATGATATGGAATCATCCGCTTAGAAATATGCAATGGATGGATTCAGGTATAATTGTAATTTGAATTGATACAGTGATATCTGCACCCAATCTAAGCAGAAGTAACCTTAACCCTCTCTATAATTTTTTATTTCTTAAATTTATATGCTGCCCATTTCACAAAGTGTCTTTGTGTGGTTTACATCATAAAGAACAAAAATATGTTACATTTTTTCCTATACTCTGTGATAGGAATACAGGTGTTAAAATCTTCAGCAGAATTCAGAGATTCAAATGTTGAAGAAAGTGTGAAAGCTTGTATTTTGAAGATCTACTAAATTATACCATAGTATAAGCAGCCATTGACTTGATAGCAATACAATTTTTCAGTAGTTTCCTGTAGTTCATTGTATATATGAGATAAATTTGTTACAATAATTAGCAGGAAGCAATAGGACCAGCTGAGCTTGCAAATTATATTCTATGTAATAAAGTGTGTATAATAAAATATAAATAAAGTTTATATAATAAACTTTTGTTGTTGAGTAGGGTTTATTTGTAAGTAAACATCAAAAGATGAGCTCAGTAGAAAAATGTGCCTGTTTTATTTCATCTAAAGGGTTAAGTAGGAAATCTCAATTTACAAAATGAAGATCACCCTTAGAAACACAAATACCAAACCTCAATATTTAAACAGATTCCCCCCTCAAGACACTTAACTAATGAGGGAAGAGCTGTTATGGATGAGTTAGCATAAACACATAATATAAGCTATTTGATACATTGTAAATAGAACCTGTCATTGTTTGCAGCTTCTACTTTGCACACATACTAGTTGCCAAGAACAAAACAAGGAGCTTTCTATTATGGCACAGAGTATCTTTAACCAATTGTGGAAAATCCAGTTATTACGGATATATATATAACCTTAGAAAGTTCAGTAAATATATTGCACTGACCCCGAAGGAAAAAGAACCTTGGACAGTCCACCTACATTGGTAGACTTTGATCTACTGACATTCTTTTCAATATACATATACTATAGATCTGATTTGCGGGCCTTCTGAACTCACCAGAAGTAGGAAAACAGGCTGTTTCCTGCCTCCGGAGGGCCTGAAGGGGCAAGGGGAAGGCCTGTTTTTCTTTCTCACCTGGCTCCAGATCCTCCCTATGATCTGGGGAGAGCGGAAACAGCCTTCCCCACTCCTTTGGAGGCCCTCCGGAGGCCTGAAATGGCCCATTTCCCAACTCCCAGTGGGACACGAAGTAACTTTTTTACTGTCCCCAGCCTCGAGACTCCTAGAGAGGCGTGCCAGGACCAGGGGGGGAGGGCGGGTTGCGCACGCATTTATGCGCATGAGGCGCATAAATTATGGGTGTGGGCATGCACGCGTGAACCTCCCCCAGCCCCCCTTCCTGGCATGCAATGGCAAAAAGGTTAGCCATCACTGCTATATATAGTAGTCTTTAACTTACAACCATTCATTTAATGGCCATTTAAAGTTACAATGGCACTGGAAAAAACAACTTATGACCATTTTTCACACCTATAACTTTGTAGCATCCCCATGGTCACGTGATCAAAATTCAGGTTTCAAATATGAAACCTTCATATTTATGATGGTCACAGTGTCTGGGGGTCATGTGATCACCTTTTGCAATCTTCTGACAAGCAAAATCAACATTTTAGAAGCCAGATTCTTTTAAGAACTGGGTTACTTAAAAACTGTTGGCGATTCATTTAGCAACTGTGGCAAGAAAGGTCCCAAAATGAAGCAAAAAAACTCACTTAAAACCTGTCTCGCTTAGCAACAGAGATTTTGGGTTCAAGTCCAGGACTACCTGCCATGCAGGAACTTCATTAATTCAATACAAATGGATAGGCATAATATGGTTGTTGTTTACACATTTTAAAGAACTGATCGAAATAGACTTATACCTTTTCCAAACTATATCTTATTTGGTTTCCAAATCTGATTCCCAAGATGATTTATGTGATTTAATCTTAGGGTAACTAAACCTGAATAAACCTTTCTTGAGATTTCTTTAGCTGAAAATGATTTTATTTGTAAATAACATTCTTCAGAAGTTCAAGGCAGTATAAAAGGCATAATGGGTAAATAACATACCCTATTGTTTTGAGATAAAATGAGTATTCCTTTTCACTGAAGAAAATGTCTTTCTTTTCTTTATTTTAGCAGCACTAAAGTCTTGTATATAGAAACTCTAGTCGAGCTAAGAAAATATTTTCCTAATTTCTTTGTTAGCAACAGGTAATAAAAAAGAAAATCGAACACATATCTATATATAATCTTTTATTAAAGACAACTGTAATTTATATACAACAAGATATGTACAAGGAAAAGAATATACAAGAATTTAAGCTGCAGCCTAGCACTCTGACAGTTTGCCAAATCCTTTTATCTTCTGGTTTAGTATATCTAACCCTATTATGCATTTTTTGCACTCTTCACAATACCTATTCAGTTGACATCTTCAAAAGCACAGTGCAAATAATCCATACATTCACCTGTCAACTTCAAAGCATATTTTAACTGGAGAAAATAATGCTGTAGTAATAAATCCAAAGTAACCAGTGGAATGTGTTATAAATAAAATTCTGAAGAAATATGGAATAAACAACTATCTGTTTTTCACAGTTTAACATGCTAAGATAGCGCTCCAGACTAAAGGCCAAGATAAATTTGAAGGGAAAAAATATAACCAAGAAATATCTGGTTGGGCATCACTAATCTTCTAGAGAGTAATTTTAAGTTTATACTCTGGATGGGCTTAAAATATATAACAATTTACCAACAATGAAAAGCTTCTGTTTCCCCACCCCCTCCATGTTTGAAATTATTTATACTCTAATTCTACTAATGGATGAACAGAGTGAAAGAAGCAGCAAACAAGCCTTAATTGGCTCATAAAGTAGTTAGGCATAAATGTACAGTTTTATCACAAAAATATTCCTACACACGTATACTGTACACACATTGCTTGGACTTTTTCATTCTAAATATGTAGACTGTCAACAAACTGATCAATTTGTCGAGTCTACAAACAGCATTCAAAATAAAACAGTACAAGCCTAGTGATAAAAAGGTTTAAATGCCACAGGATATACGGGGTACATAGTGTGTTCGAATGTCCAACAAAGTGCATTCTGCATTGGGTTTCAACTCATGTGGAATTACTTCTGTGGGAAAAAAGAGAGAAATCAAGATTTAGAATGTGGTTTCACTAGAAAATAGTGAGTATTAAAATAGTAGAATTTCTGAGAATCTATCACAAGTTCAATGAAACTGCCAAAAATCATATCTTCCCTCCCCCAACAGAGCTCTCGTTAAATTGGAAGAGGTGGACAGAGGTCTAAAACGAAGTATGGGTAGAAGTTCTTAGCCCATACAGTATAATCACAATTTCAACCAGCACTACTTCCATGAAATGCAATACATGTCGCTTCCAGAACCCTTGTTATTAATAGAGTAGTATGACAATAGACAATGTATGACTCTATAATGCTGGCCTAAAGATATTAGCAAGTAGAACAATCAGAGTGAAGGGCCTATAAAGTTAGTCCTCTACTTACAACCATTCATTTAATTACCATTGAAAGTTACAAGGGCAATGAAAAAAGAGTGAGTTATGAGCAGTTCTCACACTTGTGACCATTACAGCCTCCCCACAATCACATGATCAAAATTCGATTGTTGGGCAATCAAGCATGTATTTATAATGGTTGCAGCCATTCTGGAGTCTTGGAGCTATCATTTGCAAGGAAAATCAATGGGAAGGGGTAAATAGGTCATAAAATGGAACATGACTCATTTGCACATTGTTTTGCTTGTTATCAGCAGAAATTTTGGGCTCAATTGTGGTCGTAAGTCAGGGGTGAAATCCAGCAGGTTCTGACAGGTTCTGGAGAACCAGTAGAGGAAATTTTGAGTAGTTCGGAGAACCGGCAAATACCACCTTTGGCTGGCCCCAGTGGGGTGGGAATGGAGATTTTGCAGTATCCTTCCCCTGGAGTGGGGTGGGAATGGAGATTTTGCAGTATCTTTCCCCTGCCACCCCCACCAAGCCATTCCATGCTCATTAAGCCACCCCCACAGAACTGGTAGTTAAAAAATTTGGATTTCACCACTGTCATAAGTCGAAGACTATCTGCATGTGACAAAGATTTGTTTTTCAGTAATACTCTAATGAGATAAAGAGAGCCATTATACATTTCTATAATCCGAAGATATAGGTGAAATGTTTATACCTAGCTTTGGTATCTCAAAGGTTGTATCTTGCTCTTGCAAAGTAAAGTCAAGGGAGAGATTCTGCATTCCAGATTCATTTAACAGGAACCCTTTTCCAATTCCAGCTTCATTTAACAGGAACCCTTTTCCACCAATGCTGCTTTGTTGCCACTCAGAGCCGTTAAAGAGCTGCCAGAGGGGAAAGATAAAAGAGATCAACAATCTGAACTGTTTTCTAGTTCAATTCAAAAATACTGTTATTTCCTTTCCAAGATGCAGATTACAGAACAAAGATTGCAGCCGCATTCTTAGGTTACATGGATTCTTGCGATCTAATGTGGTTCAGAAGCAAAGCAAGACATCCTAAACCAGGGATGTCAAACTCGCGTCGTCACAGCGTTGTCGCATGATGTAATGGGATTTTTTAATCCCCTTCACTAAACCAGTTGTGGGCATGGCCAACACATGACACATCCGGCCTACGGGCCAGATGACAGCCCTGCCCTAAAGTATCCCTTCTCAACCAAGACAAATGGGAACTCTTTACACATTGCATGCCCGCCCACCCCTTTGAATACTGCCTTTAAACTTCATGTTTTGTCCCAATGCCAAAATTATTTACAAAGTTATTTAAAAAGAGAGTCTTACATCAAACAGTGGAATATCCTCCTCTTCATCAGTTATTGTGAGGTTATACGAAGCCATCAGGTAAAGGAAGGGGAAGAGAAAAGAAAAGAAACATACCCAATGAATCTCAAGAATTCTTGTTTACTAAATGTTTATTTTCCAGTTTTCTATTATCAACAATAACACCTGTCTAGTCAATGATAAAATTAAAATAAAGCATTGGATAATTTATGCTCATACAAGTAATGCCAGTGGCTTAATATCTAGAATTATTTTACTGTAGAAGGCAGGTTGTAATTAAGTATTTATAAGCTCTATATTTCAACAGGAGAGATTTAGATACATATTTCCATTCTCTTAATAAAATTAATGAGATTTACATGGGCTTAACTTTCAGAGTCAAGTCTGTAGTAAACTAAATAAAAAAAAACACTTTTAAATCATTACATCACTCTCATAAAACCTATTTCTAACCAAGACTGCATCCAATATGCGACTACATAGGAAGCTTTGACTTTTTAAAACGAAGGTAGAGAGTAGGCAGACAATCTAAACATCCTTCCTTATTCTGAATCTCAGCTCCAAGGAGCTGAAAATTGTATTTTTTAATTTTATTTTAGTGTATGGCACATGTTAGCCAGGGATCACTGAAGTGGCTGGCTGCCTCTATGAAAGGGATTTTTTTCGGGCAGAGTTATCTTGCCCATGGGATGTCTGAATGCCAGTAGGCAATTGGAGGAGGCTCCTTTCCTGTCCCTATGCAGTTTATTCGCTCACAGGAATCGAGCTGCTGAGCTGCCAACCTCAGCGGAGCAAAAGTTGAGTGTCTTACCATGTGAACCACTGCACCCCCCTAATAATCTAACTTAATAATCTAATAGATTATGGGAGCTGAATGTCCAATCTATGTGGGCAGTTGACCTAAACCCTGCCGTTCTCTTGGTTCTGTTCCTCAATCCATTTATGATCAATCAACTGGTTCTGAACAATTAAATACTAACCTTCAGAAGAAGAATAGGAGGGTGAAACCTGAAGTCTGTATATGTTGTTTGTACTGTCAGGGGTCTGAATTTCCAGTGGGCAATTTCTCCAGGGATTACTGTTCATGTCACATGAAAGATCTAAAAAATGTCCATTGAAAGTATGTGATTTATAATGCAAGAGATATTTTTTCCCTAAGATTGTTCTACAAACTAATGAAGCCATTTTGTTTCACACAAACAAACAAAATGATTGACAGCACCCCTCCCCCCACTCGGCCAGGATGAACAAAACATGAGATGCTATGCCCAGACAAATAACTGATATTGCAGCTTAAGCCGATGATCACAACATCACACAAATGCTAATTCAATGTCTGAGTTCCCAAAACATACTCAGCCACAAACCTAATCAACCCCATTTCAACCGGTCATATAAATCCAGCCTTTTGATTTTCTTTAGTTTTGAGAAGTTCTCCAATAGTTTGTTGGGAATTTATCAGTGTAGAATAAACAAAGGAAAAAAAATGTCTTAATTCCTTAACATCCCTGACAGCTTATCTTTTCATTACTCAAGCAAGCTGAAAAATGGCAGGCCTGGCTTTTCCTTGTGAGACCCACACAACTGATTAAAATTGTTTCTTACCAAATGTGCTCCCCACTTCCATGTCCTCTGCTACATAGCCAGGAAGCACATAGCCACTGTGGTCATCAGGCAACTGAATGCTGTTTGTTGCTTCGACTGTCTCTTCCTTAATATCCTCCACTGACTGCAAAAGATGAAGGACAAAATGTCAACTTTATGTCTTTTAAGGCAGCGGCCCCCAACCTTTTGGGCACCAGGGACCAGTTCTGTGGAGTAAGGTTTTTCCGCAGACCGGAGGGGGCGTGGTTTTGCATGCTGCCTGCATCCTACGGATGGGGCTTCTCTTGTTTGCGTGAGCCAGTTTATGACATGCAGTGGTCTACGGAACAGGGGTTGGGGACCCATTTTAAGGTCAAGATGTGTGAATGTATTTATTTTGTTGTAATCAGTATTATTGGGAAGTATTTCTGCATAGTTTTCGGCAGAAGTAAATAGTTGCAGCTTTTCTTTTCTTGCTTTTAAGAATCGTTTTCCTGCAATAAAATGGCCTTTATATGGCAATTGTCTATAGCTAAGGTATATGAGCGGGGCAGTTGAGCAAGCTGGGAGCCCAACAGATTTTTATTTTGAAAGATTCAACACTGGCAATAATTAGGCAGAAGGAATGGAAGGCTTTTTTTTTTAAAGAATTAGATAACTGATAAAAAGTGATCAAGAAACTAAAAATATGTCGAGTCCCAAAATGCTTCTCTACCGGTAGTCCTCAACTTACGACCACAATTGAGCCCAAAATTTCCGTTGCTGAGCAAGACAGTTGTTCAATGACTTTTACAACCTTTCTTGCCACAGTTGATAAGTGCTTCACTGCAGTTGTTAATTTAGTAATGCGGTTGTTAAGTGCATTTTGCTTCCCCGTTGACTTTGCTTATCAGAAAGTCATAAAAAGAGACCACATAACCCCAGGAAGCTGCAACCACCATAAATACATGCCAAGTTGCCAAGTGTCTGAATTTTGATCCCATGACCCCAGAGATACTCCAACCATTTTAAGTGTGAAAAATAGCGATAAATCACTTTTTTTCAGCACCATTGGAACTTTGAAAGGTCACTAAATGAATGGTTGTAAATCAAGAACTACATGCATTTCCTTCAACAGGAATGATTTCTGCCAGCAGCCATCTTCTTGTACCTTCCACTAACTTATTCTCAGTAGGAAGATTTTCAATGGATGAAGAGACAGGAAACACCCCCTCTGTATGAAGGGCTGGACAGTGGCATCTTCGGGAGAAGAGCAGGGCTCAGATCTACAAGATGGCAGGCAAAATTTCTATCATGGTTGGGCCAGTCACCCTGTAGATTTTGACTTCTGCCCTGCAAATACCCATGAATCTGTGCTTTTTAATATTTCACATGCATGTTTTACTTAAGCTATTGAAGAAAAGACATATGTTGTATGTATGGTTTTACATAGTTTATATGTTTTTTTATGATATGTTTTATGATTTTTATAGTTCTGGATATTATTGTTGTGGCCAGCTAACCGGAGTTGTGTTTTTCAGTGAGTAGCTATACAAATCTTTTAAACACATACCTTTCTTGGGCTCTTGCTTTTTGGAGACCTTGACTTTTTTTCTGTTTGAAATAAACAAAACAAAAATACAGGCTTAGAATAAACATATTTTAAGAGAGAGTGGGTGATAGACAATGCAACTGCCAGACATTTCTGGTATTATCCATCTTGTAATATTTTCTTCTCCAAGTTTGCAATAGTGCAATTCTGTTGGCCACAAAGCCATAGCCATTCTTGGAAATTTTTCCTTATGGATTTCAATTGTTGCCATAAAACTGACAACCTGGCTGCCTAGTGTATGTAACACTGGAACCAAATTTTATATTACAAGTATTGGGAATAATACCCATCCTTTGTAAGTTTTGAGCAATACCTTTTTTCTCTGATTTTACTGGGAGTTCCACTATCTTATAGACTCGAACAGCACTGGGTCCTTTGCTAATGCTTTGATCCTTCACTTCTTGAATGTCAGGCAAGGAATTCATGGCACAACGGAAATTTGCCTTCCATGTTTTTGGATCAGGTTCTACATCACCTTCTTTGTATCTCCCTGTAAAAAAACAGATGGCATAAATCTAGGTGTGCAAAAAATAAAAAGAAAAGCCACATCCAGCCAGAGGGATCCTGGTATGTTACTCTAAGGTCCTGAGAGGAACCCACTGTCACTTCTGTGTGCTTGATATTGACTCTTTTCAGTCTGTGCAGTTCAGTATAATTCAGACATATAAATGTACTGTTGATAACAAACCTTAATTATTGAAGGTATCAACTGAACTCAGAAGTTAGATATCACCAAGTGAGCTCACTGATTCCAATGGGCCCAATCCACATATGACTAGATGACAAATATGACTAACTGTATCTAACTATTCCTATGAACAACTTCTTACTTATAGAAAGGCTCAAAAGGCAGTTGTAATATTATCACCATCACCTTTCTGTAACAAGATACATATTAAGGGAGATTGAAGAACACTTCACAATGAACCATCGATTGCTCATTATAGAGAGATTTTGTTAACATGCCAATATAGTATTGAGTAACAAACCCAGACATCCACTCCATAGTACAGTAACATACTATACCTAGATACATACAGAGAATGACCAGCCCATCCTTATCTCCTGAGGTGATAAGACTTGGAAAAAGATTTCTATTTTTCTCTCATCAGCCATTCATGTAGATTGGTTGTCAAAACTCTTAGGAAGTTTATAACTCTGACATGGAAATACTGTACAATAGCACAAACTCATGGGCTTCTGCGTGCTACAAATATGCACAAGTCAGAAGCTGAACATATTATCAACTAGTTCCAGGATAAATACACAGTTCTTTGGCGGGGGGGGGGAGGGCCTTTCCAGTTGTTTTAACTAGTAAGTGCTGGGGTTTTAATTGCTTCAAAAACTATTTAGAGGAATTGTTTTGGAATATCCAGGAGCAAGATCTGTTTGTCAGACTTTCATGCAAGCTTTAAAAATGTTGCATGGTTTAAGAAGGCACTGCCTTTGTGCTCTGTTGCATTCTGAAACCTGAACCTTCTACAGTGTGCAATTCCCTATTAGTATACTGACCACAGATACTCAAGAAGAAACCACAAACTCTTTGCCTAAAGAGGCAGGGCAAGGAAAAGGGATCCCTTTGGCTAGTGTTAATATGATGATTCCTCCTTCAAGTACAGTAACCGTTTGATTATCTAGAAAATCTCTAGAAATGTTTCACTATCACCAGGACAAAACAGCACATACCAGTATGAACGGCCCAATTTTTGAACAGGCAGGCATCTTTTTCCAGTTCCCACCCATGCTTAGCTGCATGTTTCCAAGGGATCTGGAACATTTTATCTTTCTGCAATTGAAAAAAAAAAAATACAATTCTGAATAAGCATCACTGAATTGCACTGAGAAAACAAAATCAAGAAACCAGTAGAAAGTTGAAAATGAAGAACCCCTGACCTGTGAATTAATCAAGCAGTAGACAAGCGTACATTTCTGATGATTTATTTGATTTAGCATTTGTCTTGTCTACTGTATATTGCCTCCAATTCAATAGCATAGCATTTCATAACCAGGTGTTGTATAAAACAAAATAAACAAAGACATATTGATTTTTTTCCCTACAGTTTACTATAACATATGCAAATATTCTGGATGTAATCTTAGCCACAGAGAAACGAGCCTATTAGCTCTACCTGAATCTCTTACATATCTCAACTATTTGGCATTTTAAAAAGCTATAAAAGCGCAATAAGATATTATCAAGTTAAGTTAGTTGTAGAGTTCAGACTGACATTAAAATTAACGTTAAACATAACATCAAATGCATTAAAGATTTATTTAATTTGCATTCTCAATTTCTTTTCAATATTTTTGCTCCTTTGATCTTGGCATTTTTTTCCTCTGGTAGTTATTCTTAAGCAACAAATTATTGTATTGAAGCCTCACTACTTTCCTCACTACAATGTTTCTATATTTTCTATAATAACCTTGTTTTAAACTTGAAGCAAGAAAAGTACACAAAACTAGCCTTTTAAAAGAGAGTGCATGAATGAAAGTTTTCTATACCTTATTGAGCCAATAAAGCCCAGGAATTTTATTTGAATTAATCTGCAATTCCAGCCAAGGTCTCATGCGCATCCTTGTTTGTGGCATTCTGGCTCTAAAAGAAAAAGTCAGGAACTGTAAGCACAAAACAAAATCTCTCACTTCTAGAAATATCATGGAGACCAGTGGCTAATATTGTAACGGACAATGTGCTTTCCCCAAAATCTATTTCCCCTAATTTCCTTATAAAGAAACCAGCTTTTTTATGTATATAACACCATCTATATGTGCAGTGCTTCACAAAATACAAGATACTAGAAAAATTAGTATCATCACATCATGAGTATTACACTGTTATGTTACTTTTAAATCGATAATGTGAAAAGTCGATCTAGTTAGCAGTCAAGATGGTGGCCTAGAAGCCAGGAAACTGAATTCTACTCCCACCTTAGGTGTGATAGCCATCTGGGTGACTTTTGGCCAGTCACTCTCTCTTAGTTCAACCAACTTCACAGGATTGTTGTGGAGAAAAAAGGAAGTAGGAGTCTAGCTAAATTCCCCTCAAGTTATGTATAATTCACACCATGCAACCTTGGAGTGGTTGTTGCCTTGAGGGCATTTTCTCTGCCTTTTATCTTTTACTTTGCTTTTATTTCTCATTCTATTTTAATTGTAACTTTTTACATGGTTTTATGATTTTTAATCTGTAAACTGCCCAGAGTCACTTATATAATAAGATGAGATAATGGGATATATTAATGGGATTTAAATATAAATATAAATTAGATATAACTCTTTTTTTTTTTTTTTTGCTTTAATTTATATGCCGCCCTTCTCCGGAGACTCAGGGCGGCTTACAATGCGTTAAGCAATAGCCTTCATACTTTTGTATATTTATACAAAGTCAGCTTATTGCCCCCACAATCTGGGTCCTCATTTCACCTACCTTTGAAAGGATGGAAGGCTGAGTCAACCTTGAGCCTGGTGAGATTTGAACTTGCAGTAATTGCAAGCAGCAGCAACTCTAATAATAGTAATAAAACATCTGCCTATCCCAGGTTTTTGATAAGGACTCAATTTAAATAAAAATGCCAAATCTAGTCTAAGCATCTTGCTGACTGTGTTACCACCCATAATAAGTCAGTTGACAAATGCTTTGAAGCCACTTACAGCCTATTTAGAATTCAATACAGGTGAGAAAAGACTGCTCCCAAATTACTTATGTTAGGTCAAAGTAAACCCGGAATTCTATCCCAGGCTTCCTATTTATTCTCCCACTGAAGTATCTGTGTGTCCAGACCCACACTGGGCAGCCAAGAGCATCTTCCAAAACAGCCATTTGAGTCTGGGAAAAGATGTTGCTGCTTTGATGATTTGTAAGCAGGTGTTTCTTCTGCTATGTTCTGAAACACCTCCTTCAATGCCTTTGCATAGATCTGGTCTCTATTTTTCCTCTCTCAGCATAGGATGCAAGACGGCCATTGTCCATGCAGAAAATGGCACCATGTGTTTCTGCTCCTCTGCTGCAGAACCTAACATATATTTGATCAAAATAGCAGGAAGGGCTGGATGAAGATATCAGAAATGCATCAAGAACCATATTAGCACTGGTGGCATGTATACATATACCAACATATGTGGGGGAGAGTTCTCGGAGAAGAGCTTTGAGTCATCAAACAATGGCTCAGGATTATTGTATTTTCCAGGTGCACACAGTAAATTCTTCCCAATGTCCCAAACTCCATTATGTGTTCTGTTCCTTCCCTCAAACTACTATTACTGAAAACAGGAAACTGAAAATCTATTTTCTTGAATAACCCCATCAAAGCAGCAGGGAGGGTTAGGGGAGATAATCTCCCACCTGATCATTCCCGTGTTTTGTTTTACCCCTTAAACTTTGATATAATACAGTTCTTTTCTTGAAGTATCACTTCTTAAGAATGCTACAAATTTAACTGACTGTTGGGAGCTGCAGCCAGTAACCAGTTATCAAATGTTTACAGCTTAGATGAAAACTAAAGTGGAAATATTTCTTCAGGGAACACATGTTTAATTTTCAGCCAGACCAAATTGTAACACAAACTATTCCTACAGGTATTTTTAAAATAAAAAGATACAAAAGAAAGCAATTTTCATCTTCAAAGGTAAAGTGGAACCGGCTTTTCTCTATCTTGCCCTCCCCCCATTTCCAAACAGCTTTAACAAAACTTTTACAAATGAGCTTTTTTTTCATCATGGGTGCATTGGTAGGCTTTCTAGGGTGCAATAAATTGCAGAGAATCAGCTCATCGAATATCCTGATAAGGCCTCATATATATTTAAGAATGCAGGCACCCAATTCCCTCCAGAAACTGTTGCCCAGTCTCCAGTGAGTCTCCCCAGCTCCAATCCAGCTCTTTATGGTATCGTGGTTGAGGAAGGAAGGAAGGAAGGAAGGAAGGAAGGAAGGAAGGAAGGGAGGGAGGGAGGGAGGAAGGAAGGGAGGGAGGGAGGGAGGGACGGGCTGCAGGGTAACTGCACTGCTTGCTTGTAGGTATCCACAGAAGTTTTTTTTTTCTTTTTGTCAGAATAAATAACAAAAATGCACCAGAAGTTCCACTCTATAAAAAGAATAAGGCTTAGATTGCCACACCTCAGTCCAGCTTTTATCACACTGCCCTCCCACATCCAGCTCCCAATACAGCTGGATCCATTACCTCCTAATATTTAGTTTTGACAACTCTTTTTAAGTTTAATATGTCTAGCAAGTGAACTTTCCCTGAAATGCCTGACAGATGCAGAATGCCCTTTACACATGGTAATAAGAATCAGAACTGAAAATGTTCCTTACACTTAGGGGAATTTTTATAAAACTGCATGAGATCCTGCACTGGGAATGTTGTCATTTGGCACACAAGCAAACACAAGGCTTGATGATTTCCTGTTTGCAAGATTTGGATTGGGGCCAGGTGGTTTCAAACTGCACAACTTCATTCAGGGAGAAGCACAATTAATTCAACTTTAATAAAAAGGATCTCATCTTTTATTGTTTAAATCCTTAACAAGAACATTTATGAGGAAAAAGGTCAAGATTATCTACTGCTTTCTAGAGGTTTACAATTACCCTTTTGAATGTCTATGTTCCAACTACCGATTATAGTAGGGATATATGACCAGTGGTGGTGCAGTAGTTAAGAGTGCAGTACTACAGGCTACTAATGCTGACTGCCGGCTGCCAGCCCAAGGTTGACTCAGCCTTCCATCCTTCTATAGTGGGTAAAATTGTTGGGGGCAATATGCTGACTCTGTAAACCAGTTAGAGAGGCACTAAAGCACTGTGAAGCGATATATAAGTCTAAGTGCTATTGCTATTGATATAGCATGGACTTGCAAAAGTCCCTACCTCAAGCCAATTCAAGCTTGTAATTCAGCTCTGGCTGGTGTTTGATTCCTTCTTGCAAAGCATATTCCTGCATGTGACACTGATCTCCAAGGCTCCTGTGCAAAGGGCATTCCGAAGGGTGAACCAAAGGAATTTTGCAGTTTCATGCACTTGTTACAGGAGCAAAACTATGCACTGCATGCATTTGCTGTAGGATGCTTATGGAGACACCTGCAAATCATACATTTACTTCCATGGAAAAACTTCAGTGCTGAATTCAATGGGGGTTTATCAGTAAAGTCTGAATGGTCAAATAGAAATGTTTACATTCAAAGCATGATCCTTCCTTGCCAGGTGTGCTATGATTCTCCTGTTCCACCAGTTTGTCTCACATGTATTCATCCCTGCAAAGGTTTCAAGAGAACAACCTAATGGATTATCTCTACTCTTCTATCCAGCCTTTTCCAAAACCCTTTCCAAGATTCTGGTTTGCTTTAACATTTATTCTCCTGCTGGAACTTCTGGACTGTACTCAAGGATACCCGGAGCTAACAATTGGCCCGTCTCTCCTCACTCCGCCCCCTTCTTTTCTCTCCTCTCCCCAAGCTCTACTTCCTGGTCCAAACAACAAAAGAAGCAGCACCACCCATTACTGGAAATCATGGTCACACAATTCTGTTTGGCAAAACTCGGATACAATCAAGAGTCAATCAAGCCACTAACTTTTTGCAACTTTGCAAATAAAATTATTACTGTTGCAAGTTTAGAAACCGTACAACACACGCGCTTTTCTCACTTCGCAAGAGTTCCCCTACTGAGTAGCCGGAGCGCCGATTGCATCTTGCGCTAATTCTACTGAAGCCGCTGTGCGCGCGCGCTTCTGCAAACACCTGACTCCTCGCTTACAAGCGGCGGGGACACATTTTATATATATAAATATATAAATATATCATTTTTTTTATAAAGAACTGAAAGCGACGAAAATACTGAATACTCCTTCCTCCTCCTATTTTCCCCGGAACAACCACCCTGTGAGGTGGGTTGAGCGGAGACAGACTGGCTGCTCCAAAGTCACCCAAACCGACTTTTCTGCCTGTGGCGGGGCTAGAAGTCACCGCATCCACCCTCTCACCCCGTGTACTTTGAGAACATTTCCGCCCATTTTAACGCGCTTTATTACGGGGGAGTCTCTCAGCTCCGGAGTAGGTCCCAACTGGTCAGGAAGTTTTTTAGAGAGAAATTCTTACTGCTAACGGCTTCGGATGCCCCCAGACTAGATTTCTCCCCGTCTAAATGGAGCTTAAGCGGGAAGGGGACCTGCAGATCATCGCAGCGCTAAAATAAATAATTAAGTAAACTCCGGTGGATCTACTTGAACCTCCGATCCTAGCCTTGATGGTCTTTAAGATCGCTCCTGCCACCCCACCCGCCTCATTCCTCATCCCGCTCCGGTGGATGAAAGTTATTCAGGTGAGCGCTGCCCAGTCTAACTTGCACCGAACTGCGCGGTGCTTGCCTCGGTTTAGGCGGGATGCCGCCAGCAGCTGCTGGACCACGACCCACCTTGCAGGACTTGATCGAGGATCACACCCTTCGGAAACACCCGAGCGACCGACAACGTCTTCCCGTGCAGGAGCCAGCTCCGCTCAGTTCAAGAGACTCTTCGCTTCTGCAGGCGACTGTCCAGGGGGAGCCTGTATTATTCTACAGGTCACCGGGAATCCCCCTGTCGGAGAGTGGGGGGGAGACACAAACGCGCCCGGCTTAGCCAATCAGCGCCCTGAAGGGCTTCCGCCGCGGCCAATCAGCGCTTCAGGCAGGCCGCTGTTTAGAGGAGCCTGATTTCTGAGAAATCAGGCTATTGAAAACTAGCGGCGGGAGGGGAAGTCCGGCTTCTCTTCCCCGCCCCTTTCTCAAACTTTGGCGGCGTGTTGGTTACATTGCACGAAGGAAGAAAACACTTGATTCTTATTTTGGAATGCAAGAAGCCGGGGCACGTGGACCGGTCCCAGGGCTCCGGAAATCTTTTCCTGCCAGCCCAACACCCACGCACACGTAACCATCCGAACTGCCCCTGCCTGTTGTAACGGCCTGCGATCCAGCCTGCCTTGAAATCGAGGGGTTGAATCGTGCTCACATGAGGGTGACCTCCTCGTTATTTTCGAGCTGTGGGTCTGAGCTAACCCACACCCCATCCAGGAGGGTGAACAGTTGGAGAGGATCACAGCTGTTCCTTAAATTTAAAACATACGGTATTCATAAATGTTTGGAACCAAGTTTTCGGGGTCAAAGTCCACCGAGTGTCTGATAAATCCTAAAATTTATAGCTTCAAAACTATGAAAACAAAGTGGCATATTTACTTATTCCCAGACCTTGAGCTAAACGAAGTTATTCATTTTATTTGGGGAGGCCCTCATAAATTATTTTTTTCATTTTAATGGACCTCCAGCATAATAACCCAATGCCAGAGCTGAACTATAGCCTGGGACGCAGCTGAAACATCTGAAGCTGCCCTAAGAATGTTTCATGCCTCCATTCCAAAACCACCCCCACCCCTAGATATGCCAGAATACAAAACCCATAATCTCTACTCAAGAGCTCATGGGTTGTATCCCAACAGTTTTGTCCCTCCTGTATGTAAAAGAATACGGATAGATTCTCTTCTTAATAAAATGTGCATGGGTTCTCTTCTTTGTTTTCTGTATATGGCTGCCTTGTCTTGAGAAAAGACAGCCATATACAGAAAACTAAGAAGCCCCCTCCCCAAATACAACAACCTTTTTCCTAAACATGGACAAGGTTTTATTTAGGGTCAAGTCAGTTTGGCTCAGGAGTGGATCACCAGTGCTGCAAGCAGAACAGCCTTTCCCTTTGCTGGTTGCCTTTAAGGAGAGGCTGGAATATTCTCCAAAGCCAATGACACTTTTATCTGGATTCCTGCAAGAAATCAAGGATTGGACTCCATCTAAAGAACCTCTCTCAACTCTAGCATTTTATGAAATAGATTTATTTCTGCAAGGGTATGGAACTAGCTTAGCTTTGGCTCTGGGGTGCCCTTAGTGGAGCATTGTTTGGAGGTTCAGCAGGGTTCAATGGAACGGGAAGGATATGGCAGACAGCATTGGCAAGGAGGAAAAGGAAAAACACTAGGTTAAAAAAACTGGGGGGGCAGAAGTATATGTAGTTAGCAGAGCGGGAGGAGGGAGAACCAGGCTAGGAGGATCCAGTTCTCCAATCAAAACCTTCAGGATCCAGTCAGTCCACAAGTTTTTCCTAACAAGTTCCAAGAAGAAATCTTAGAGAGTGACACACACACACATCACACATTCTAAGAGCCTTGGTGGCGCAGCAGACTAAAGCACTGTTAAGTAACACCAGCTGCCTGCAATTACTGCAAGTAATCTCACCAGGCTCGAGGTTGACTCAGCCTTCTATCCTTTCGAGGTAGGTAAAATGAGGACCCGGTTTGTGGGGGCAATAAGCTGACTTTGTATAAAAAAAAGAACACCGTTTGGAGGTGGGGGCGAAAGCCCTACTAAGCAGGTATATACAAAAGTATGAAGGTTATTGCTTAATGCATTGTAAGCCACCCTGAGTCTCCGGAGAAGGGCGGCATATAAATCGAACCAATAAATAAATCACCCTTCCTAATCCAGTGTTCCTTCCAAACTTCTGGGACTCTGTTGGGATCCTGACCATCGCAGCGTGCTCAGAAGATGGCAAGTTGGAGAAGGTATATGTATCTGAACATCGAGTGCTCCATTATCTTTTCCCCAGTATGCCCTCAATATGAATTTGGAGTGAATTCAGATGATATCAGGGAAACTGGTTGATCCCACCTCCATTTCATGTTGGAATCCTATGCACACACACAAAAAGTGAGAATGATACAATATGCCATGAGCAAAATATCATAAGAAATGCAGGGCATTAGTCCAAACATACCTTGAAAGCTCAAAGTTAGGAAACAGTGACAAAATATATCTAGCTATAGCAACTTTCAAAGATACTGGACTATGGACTATATGTTACTCACAACCCTATTGTGGGTTCCCATTCCAGGAAATCACTTGACTGTCATGATAGAAAAGACAAACTACCGTTTTGACTGAAATTGATTTAGTATAATCTGTCATTTTTGTTACTGTTTAATTGATGCCATTATTATGGGAATCCTTTCATCCTTAATACACACCTGTCAAGCAAAGCTGGGAATATGAATTTATAACTTACTGGATTCATGATGTCTGTGTAATTTGACTGAAGAGGAAGTAAAAATTTAAAGCATGTGTAATACAATATTACACCTTCAGGCTTTGCCTAGAAGGAGTAAGACCTTATTTTAATAACTATACAGTTTGCTTAGTTTAGCCATATTTTTTAAAATTCATTCGCATCCACCAGATATACTGTCCAAACCCAGAAGATTAATATACAGGCAAGATGAACTGTATTGTTTCCCCACAAGTGTTCTTTTCTATCTAGGCCGGCTCATCACAATTAAATAAATACCTTCTCTTTTTCACTTTCTTCTAGAGAAGAGGTGGGGAGAATTAGGAGCATATTCTGTCTTTCATTCATTCCTAAACTGCTGTCAGCTGTCTGAATCCTTGTAAATGTATGCCTCAAATACTGTAGATATTTTTCCTTCATATCAGTGGTGGGTTGCCCCCAGTTCGGACCAGTTCTATAGAACCGGTAGTAAAACTGGCAGGAGGTTCCGCCCACTGACCCGGACGTCATCAGAAGCTATCTGCACATGCGCAGAAGCAAGGCCCACGTGTGAGCAAAGCGAGCATGCGCGAGTGATCCTGTTGTGAACCGGTAGTAAAGGTAAGTAGAACCCACCCCTGCTTCATATGATTTGGTATTAAATTCAAGCAGCCCCACCATACTGACATTTTGTAGAGCTTTGAGCCTTGACTATCTGCCCTGGCTTTTGGCTAGGCTGGTTGAAGGGTCTTCTAAGCGTATGTGTGTTTTCATTACTACTCACTTTTGTTCTTTTTGTCCCCTTGTCTTTACGGTTTTATTACTATTTCTCCCTGTGTTTTTTACTTAATGAACCTCCCAGAATAGCTAGGAGTTGGGCAGTATCCGTATTAAAAGAAAGAGAAAGAAAGAAAAAGAAAGGGAGGGAGGGAGGGAGGAAGGAAGGAAGGGAAAGAGAGAGAGAGAAGAAGGAAGCAAGGAAGGAGGGAGAGGAAAGAAAGAAAGAGGAAGGAAGGAAGGAAGGAAAGAAAAAGAAAGAAAAGGCTTGTCTAGAAGAAAGACAAAAACCTATATTGGATTATCGAATTTCTCAGCTGCCCTATATATTTAATTTTTAAAAAAATTGTTCCTGTAAATTAGTTTTAGTTGATGTCACGATTCTTCATGACCCAGAACCACTGGCTTGAGATGGACAGTCATACAAGTTAAATAAAGAAAAATAAAGGTCACATGGCATAAACCAACAGCGCTATCAAAATGACCACCCAGGCATCCCAAATAGGAGGTCAAAAAGTAATAGTTCCATCAAGTCAGATTGGTTAAGGCTGCATATCACCTGATTAACTGTAACTTGACATTTCACTTGTGGCGGATAGGAAGGAAGTTAGTCCTGTTTTTGCTTTGCTTTGTTTGCATTTCTTCTTTTGAAGCATCATGGCCTTCCTTTGAGCACAACAGATTGGCAGCTTTGCACTACAGCAGATAGCATAAAAGTTAGCTCTTTTTTGGGGCTGTTGAGAAATAGGTTTGGGTGCCTCACAGTTTATTTCTTTATTTGCAGGACTTATATCATTCAATGAGTCTAGGCAGCTCACAACAATCCCTTAAAAATGATTAAAAACAAAAGTACCCATCTCCCCAGACAGGTACTATGTTACAGTGGTGTGAATACTGTTATTGTTATTATCAACATTACTGTAAGCATAAGAATAGCAAGCACTTTTATTTACTTATCTATTACCAATACTAATCATTTCTATTATGAAAACAGCTGAACTCAGTTCAAAGAGGACTTTGCTCTTGTTTCAGATCTTTTGCTACACCACAAAGTTTACTGAAAAGGGCGGTTTAGTTGTGAAGAGGTTCTGCATCAAAAGTTTTTATACACTGTGGGTACTTCTGTGGAGCCATATTTACAGTGCTGTCATTCATTTCATAAGTGAAGGTAGAAATGCGGAAAGCCATATTTTTTCCTGCACCGGATTTATTTATTAGATTTTATCCCGCCTTGATTACTTTATAAATAACTCAAGGCAGCAAACACAATTAATACTCCTTCTTCCTCCTATTTTCTCCACAACAGCCGTGTGAGGTAGGTTGGGCTGAGAGAGAGTGACTGGCCCAAAGTCACCCAGCCAACTTTCATGGTTAACAAGGGACTAGGCCTCACAGTCTCCTGGTTTATGAATATTCTAATTTAATTCTCAAGTTTCTGTTTTGAAAACTATTACTTTGTGATATCCACCAAAACACACACACACACACACACACACACACACACACACACAAACAGAGGAGGGGAGGAGGAGGAAGTAATTAGATGTCTGTGAAGGTGACAGGAAGAGAGAGAGTTGTCATTTGGGCTGAAACCTCCAATTTTCTTAAAAACATTAAACATGAATAACATAAATTACACCATGGAAGATATTTGGAACTCAATTTTAGATGAAGATAAAATTATTTGCTGGTTGTTTGAATTTTCTACCTC